TATATATATATGTGTGTGTGTGTGTGTGTGTGTAACATAGAAATTTTCAGTCAAAGCAAGAATGTCTGCTTTGTGAATTTATTCTGTTTTATGTTTAAATTTTTAGATACTAAAAAATTACGAATTTGTGGCAGCTGTCTGTGATCTCTTCAGAGAATTATGTCTTTGTGTAAGTGGTGAGATATAACGATGATGATGTTCTTTTGCCCGTAAACTGTGTCTATTGTGTGAGTTCATTAACTGGGGTCTTGCATTGTTGGTCCCCTGCTGTGAGCACACAGAATGGAATCAGGTCGGCGGCCCCAATCTACATACAGCTTCTGATAAAGCCTTCAATAACAGGACCTCAACGGTTACGGCTTTTGAAATTAAATAAACCATGCCTCTGTGGCCATATTAAATTGTGGGGGATGTGTTCCACTGCAGGCCAAATACATATCAAACCTATGAGATAGTTTTGTTGATTTATCTTGAATATTATGCATAATGTACACAACTAAATTCTAACATGTAAACGGTTTTAATCTATGGATTCTGCAGTGGTTGAACTGAAAATGCATGTTCATTAAAAGGTGAAATTTACCTTTTGGAACTGTTCAGGGGCGAAAAGTTCAAAACATTTTTCAGGGGCATTTTCACCATTTAAATGTAATCTGATTTATTTATGAATCAAAATCCACTTCATATTGTGTCCATAGAAGCACTAAACCCATAACTAGAAAGGCCTACAAAATAATTTTCTAAGGGTTAAATTCAGATAACAGATTAAATTCATTAATTTAATTAAATTCATTAATGAAATTAAATTCACATACAGTTTTTAAGTAAGTCTGTAAAGTATAATTGTATTTATTTTTCCTTGGACAGAGCCTGGTTCATTTCTGAGGCTGGCGGAGCTGCAGGACTGTCTGAAGACAGAGGCAGAAGATAAACGAGGGCTGTTAATTTCCGAGTCTCGTTCGCTTATGTTTACAAGAGCTGATTACGACTTCAACAACTACACCACCGCTCGTGTCAAATAAATGACACACAAGGCAAAGCAGAGCCGTTTCTGAGCGCCCTAAATGTGGGGACTAAATACGCGGACAACGAGCCAATACCCATTTTTAGTCATTGTTGATTGAATAATAGGCTAATTACTAAAACACACACACACACACACACACACCTCGAACTAGTGTTGCTTTTGATACTCTAGGCGTAAATATTCACACTTGAGATTCACACACAGTAATTAAACACGCGAGTTTAGCCTAGAAATGCCTGTTGAGTTACTTGCGATTTACTCTTTAGATATTGCTTTAGAATTGCTTTAATGAGCCCATTAATTGATAAAATGTTGATGTGCCCGCGAGTGTTCATGCTACACATATTACGCTATTACATAACAGTGCAAGCAGTTCAACCTAATTCCATGGGCTATTACATGAATGTTGTTTATATTAATGTTACTCATGTAAATACATAGGCCTACTATAAAAAAAAAATTTAAACTAGTTTTGTCCTTTAAGTAGTATAACCTAAGTAATGAATTCATGGGCTATTACACCGATTCAGCTACTTTGAATCAAATTACTGGTTTAGAAATTCTTGTAAAATTAATTGAAAATTCGTAAAATTTGGTAGAACTAATAGAAATTATTTAAAAAGATGGAAACAGTGTTCTAATGACGTTTCAAACGTTTCAAAGTGTGCACACTAAAATAAAGTGTGGTTATAAATGAGCTAATGTGATCTAAATTTGCTTTATTAAAATAAAGTCAATTGTATTACCTTGAGAATATTAGGGTGCTGCAGTCTCTCCATCAGCGTCATTTCCTTGACAATTTTGAAGGATGCGAGTTTGTAGCAGTCTGTAGACGACCCATATTTCTTCACACAATTCTCCATATCGTGACCCCCAAAATCCACCGATTTTAAAGCGACGGAGAAGCTGCTGTTCAGAGTCGCCTTATAAACCGCCTTTGTGTATCCTGAGCCCAGATACTGGACATTGGTAACGTTATCAATACTGCTGCAGCCGAGCACCGACTCGCGCGTAAACTCCCGGTGTGATTTTGTTGCTATGGATACAGTCGGTTGAGACTGATCGTAATTATTGTTTTTCCCGATCCCTTTGTATGTTGCCCCCTCGCCGCGTTGCTCCAGGTCCATGAGTCGCCTGCGCTCCAGCGGTCCTGTGCCGACCCAGTGCGCCCGTCTCTGCCGGTACCGCAGAACCTCGTCCAGTCGCTCGCGTATTTGCCGCTGGAGCTCCGGGAGTCGCCCGACGGTCGCCGTTTCGGCGGGAGGCAGCTCGTCGACGTGAAGCCGGGCAGGAGCGTCCGCGTCGGGCTGCTGCTGCCGGTTCTCGTGGTGGATAAACGAGGGCTGTTCATTTCAGAGTCTCGTTCGCTAATGTTTACAAGAGCTGATTACGACTTCAACAACTACACCACCGCTCGTGTCAAATAAATGACACACAAGGCAAAGCAGAGCCGTTTCTGAGCGCCCTAAATGTGGGGACTAAATACGCGGACAACGAGCCAATACCCATTTTTAGTCATTGTTGATTGAATAATAGGCTAATTACTAAAACACACACACACACACACACCTCGAACTAGTGTTGCTTTTGATACTCTAGGCGTAAATATTCACACTTGAGATTCACACACAGTAATTAAACACGCGAGTTTAGCCTAGAAATGCCTGTTGAGTTACTTGCGATTTACTCTTTAGATATTGCTTTAGAATTGCTTTAATGAGCCCATTAACTGATAACATTATAATGTGTACGCGTGTTCATGTTACCCATATGCTTCAAAAATAACTATATACTGTGATAACAGTGAGCATTTACAAGCATTTAAAACGAATTCCATAGTATTACATGAATGTTTTTTTTTATTAATGTTACTCGTGTAAATACACAATGTAAAAATGTAATCCACTAACATTTAGCCTAAAACTAGCTTTGCCTTTTAAGTAGATAATCAAAGTAATGAGTTCATAGGCTATTACACCGATTCAGCTACTTTGAATTAAATTGTTGGTGAAGAAATGATTGTAAAATGAGTTGAAAATTCGTAAAATTCGGTAGAACTGATAGAAATCGTTGTGACCATTTAGACAGATGGAAAGAGAGTATTATAATGACGAAAACGTTTTAGTGTGCACATAATGCAAAGTGTGGTTTCAAATGAGCTAATATGATCTAGATTTGCTTTATTAAAATTATAGCCAATTTTATTACCTTGAGAATATTAGGGTGCTGCAGTCTCTCCATCAGCGTCATTTCCTTGACAATTTTGAAGGATGCGAGTTTGTAGCAGTCTGTAGACGACCCATATTTCTTCACACAATTCTCCATATCGTGACCCCCAAAATCCACCGATTTTAAAGCGACGGAGAAGCTGCTGTTCAGAGTCGCCTTATAAACCGCCTTTGTGTATCCTGAGCCCAGATACTGGACATTGGTAACGTTATCAATACTGCTGCAGCCGAGCACCGACTCGCGCGTAAACTCCCGGTGTGATTTTGTTGCTATGGATACAGCGGGAGTCGGTTGAGACTGATCGTGGTCATTGTTGTTTTTCCCGATTCCTTTGTATGTTTCCCACTCGCTGCGTTGCTCCAAGTCCATGAGTCGCCTGCGCTCCAGCGGTCCGGTGCCGACCCAGTGCGCCCGTTTCTGACGGTACCGCAGAACCTCGTCCAATCGCTCGCGTATTTGCCGCTGGAGCTCCGGGAGTCGCCCGACGGTCGCCGTTTCGGCGGGAGGCAGCTCGTCGACGTGAAGCCGGGCAGGAGCGTCCGCGTCGGGCTGCTGCTGCCGGTTCTCGTGGTGGCGGTGGCGATGGACGCGCTCGCCGTGGGGCTCAAATCCCGGTATAAACAATAAATTCATCAGCGTGCCCATGAGGAACGAGAGGCAGAAGCCCGCCGCCACCACCATCTTTCTCCGCTTCATTTTGTTGCTTATTATTATCAGCAGAAAATAGATGTGTTCCCCCTTCCAGCCTCCGCCTAGCCGCCTGGCAGGCAGTCTGGCCGCGCCGTAGTGTAGTATCGTGCAGCGCCGAGCGTTCAGGATCGCGAGGGAAGTCTATGATGCTGCGCTCAGAAGGATGTGCCGTATGTTCACGTCTTCATCTTGCAGTTATGATTTAAGATCCACCCCATATAAGGCTGCTCATGGTGACACTTGCGTGTGCGCCCAGTTAACGGGGGTCTCGGAGCGCGCACCGGCGCTGTGCCTCGATCAGCGCGACTCGAACCAGACTGACGTCACTTTGATTGGCAGCTGGCTCGGCCCTGCTGCTATGCAAAAGCTGTGTTTCAGACTTTTAAAGGAATAGTTCACCCGCGAATAAAAGTTCTGTCATCGTTTACTCGCCTTCAGGTTGCTCCAAACCAGCATGACGCTCGTTCTTCTGTGAAAAGCATAGGTTTCGAAGAATGTCTTTGGCAATGAATGGTGATCGACTTGATATCAAGCCTCAAAAAGGAACGCAAACATCATGTGTTAGGTTATTTTAAATCGTTGGAAGCCATATTATGTGAGGAGCAGACCAAAATTAAGACCCAATGAAGCTTATGCGGTTTATTGACTGCTTTTGTTGTTTTATGTTGATCTGGACATTTTCAGTCCCTATTCGTTGACAATGCAGGAAAAAGAGTGACCAACACATTCTTCAAAATTTATCCTTTTGTTTAAGGAAGAAAGTTGCACAGGTTTCGAACAGGAGGACATAAATGGCATATTTTCCTTTATACTCTTAATAATAATAATAATAATCCCGTGCATGTACTGTAGAAATAAAAATTATGTTGATAAAAAAAATCTGTTATATATATATATATATATATGTGTGTGTGTGTGTGTGTGTGTGTGCGTGTGTGTGTGTGTGTGTGTGTGTTTATATATTGGTTACTATAACACTCCAAGCCCTAGTTTACTGATCTGCAACAGAATAACTTTTTTTTCGAGAAGATACATTTGTTTATTTGTTAGTTTCTTAATTAAGGCCTTCAGGTTTTAACACCTAATTTTGTGTAATATATTTAAAGCTTTATAGTTAAAACTGATCGAAGTTGCCCTGTCTGTTTTAGGTATAGGCCTATACATGACTAAATATCCACACGATACAGTTAGCTGCATGTCTATGTGTTTACTAAATGTTTTAAGCAAGCATTTAATTGTGTTTTTTCACCGCATTAGACTCGGCTCAGTTTGCAAGTCCCTCTGACTTTCGGAAAGAAAAATGTGTATAATTATGTCTCTAGGGTCGGAGAAGTAAAAGTTTAAATGAAAAACAGACACGGGAGGGCAAAGGGGGAGAGAAATGATAGAAACATGGCACTTGTAAGCTTTGTTAAACTCGCGCGAGATAAGGAATTCCATGACTACCTAAATTAAGCCTGTTGTGTTTGTAGACTCGGAGTAAATAAACGGCCAAATCAATCAATCAACAACCTCGTAAGGGCACCGAAAGTTTTTTTTTTCTTTCCTCGTAGCGAGAGGGCTTGTGAAAATTGCTGGCCAGGAATAAAACAGTGCCGAATGCCAGGGACACACACGGCTATCCATCAAGCACGCATTACCATGCTGTTAGCAACTAATTAACAAATACAATCAACCTGGAAACTAGAGCAATAAGAACAGATCAGCAGGAGCCCCGCTTCAGGGGCGCTTTCAATGTTGCCATGCGTCCACTTTTATTTATAGCACTAATTAAGCTAATAGAATTAAGTGATGTTAGTTTAAATCTAATGTGAATAACTTGACTGGAGAAAATGCGCTTGCGATGGTTGTCGTGGGTTAAAGTCGTAACAAACAGGTTTAAACGTGGGCCTTGCACTGTAACAGAAAGTTTAACACAAAATAATATGGTTTATTTATGGTTTGTCAATGCATATAATAGCCTACAACAACAAGCTAATAATAAAAACATATGTTGCCAATGTTGACAACTCTCAACTCAATATTGTAGACGGTACATGCATCGTGAAAAGAGACACTTAGCTCCATCTTATGGACGTTAAAATAGCCTAACAATAATAATAGCCTAATACTACTACTACTAATAAAAACAACAATAAGAATAAGAATGAAAAATTATGAACGTAAATAATCATAGTTCTACGGTTACATAAAGTAACCATATAAAATACTTTATATGGCTATGTAAACGTGTACAGAAAGCTGGATTTATCAACGCTATACTGTACAAAATATTCAAATTCAACGTGAGCAACATTGCTTGTAGGCCTGACTACGTGACCAGGACAACTGTGCTTAATATATTCAACATTTAGACATAATAAACGCAAAAAAAAGCGCTACTGCATTAAATAAATAAGTGCATCAATAATCAAATGTTTAAGTTTATACAGTAAACATATCCAATACACTTCTCTCATACTTGTGAGAAATGTCCAGCATGACTATCACGCTTAAATAATCCTGTTTAGACAATGTTAGTTTTGCTAATGAATGGTATGCATGGCATTTGGTTCCATGCAGAGAGACACACAATGTTATCTGCCTGCATAATAATGGCTCATTAATATCAGCAGAGGTGGTCGCGTCATATCACCCCCACGAAAACACAAGAAGCGAACATTTGCATTGATTTTTTTCAAGAGAATGGACTGATTCTGAAAAAAACAAAGAGCATTCAGTTTGGTTGGATATAATATAATATAATATAATATAATATAATATAATATAATATAATATAATATGTGACCTATTTTACGCATATGTACAGATACCAGGGGCAAATAAACCGTGTGACAGTGCTGTGGCAGTGTAGCCTTCTAGAGTCTAGTCGAACAGAATAAAATTAAAAACTATGTTACATGAGAGGAAATGGCATTTCACTCAACTTTGTAGATGTTGCTTTAATATTTAAGACATTTAACAATTAGCATTGCTAACCCCGGGGCGGTTCGCTCGGCAGGTGGAGACGCATTAATCCGCTTTAAGAAAAGTTCAATTTCTTGGGGGTTTTGCCTAGACAATGGAGCAAACACTGTGTTCCCAAACCCCACTGTGTTTTTAAACGCACGTTAGCATATAAATTCATTTGGAGTGACTGCAGGCAGTGTTTCCCTCTGATTGACGTTTTTGTGATTGAGTGGATTATTGGGGAGTTTATCGACCCCTCGCATTCACATTTCCATTGCATTTTACGCCACCTTTAGTAAAGCATGTGGAAGGGTGGAGCATCTGTGTGTTTGCAATAATAGGCGGTGAGAGAGATATCAATCAAGCATCATTCACAATGTCTAAATTTATCTTCGCTGTCGCAACTATGCTTTCTTTTCTGTTGTATTTTAGAGCGCACACAATGACTGTTTTGTTATTAGCATTTGTAGCGCATTTTAACTTAATTGATTATCGTTAATGTACTTTATCAGGACATTTGTTAGCCTTTTTAAGCTACAAATCATAATTCAGCAATTATGAACAAAGCATTTAGTTGCATTTTGAAAAATAAACATGTGGAGTCGAGTTCATTCTTGAGTCATACCTACTGTGTTTATAATGAAATATGCTGAGCAGCAATATCAGAAGTGCGTCTTGTGAATATCCAGAGCGCATGTCTGGCTTTCCTCAGCACGAACTTTCATTTATGTTTATAGAAAACGGTCATGCATAGACTACAGTTTTAATTTTACCACTCAGGGTGGGGGGTGGGGGGGAAAGGGTGAAGACCAAAATTTTACGATTCATAGCTGTTGAAACCACACTGACTTAAGGTCAGTTTGCCTGGTGTACATTTGTTTTGTTTGGATTTTGTACTTTATAGCTAATGTCAGCACAGTCACTGATGCAAAGAAATTAAGTGGAGAGATGGACAGATAGAGCGAAAGGGAGTAAGAAAGCATTTAGCATACAGACTAAACTGCAAACACATTCCCATCTTTAAGTTAATACAGGTTTGACAGTTTAGACCGTGTCTTATCAGTTTGAAGTTCTCCTTGAGGCACTGATGGCAGACACTCATCTCTGCAACACTTCTTTCTTTCTTTCCCCAAACTTTTGAATGGAAGTATATCATGGTTTTAAAGGGATAGTTCACCCAAAAATGAAATTATCCCACAAATTACTCACCCTCAAGTCATCCTAGGTGTATATGACTTTCTTCTTTCAGACGAATCCAGTCGGAGTTATATTAAAAATTGTCTTTCATCTTTCAAGCTGTTTAATGCCACTCAGCGGGTGTTGCATGCATCAGTCCAAAAGAAGTTAAATAAAAAGCGCCCATCCATAAAAAAAAAGTGTCTCACACGGCTCCGGGGGGTGAACGAAGGCCTCCTGTAGCGAATCAATGCGTTTTTGTAAGAAAAATATCCATATTCAAAACGTAATAATCTCTTTAATGTAGCTTGCGCCAACAGTTGTACACGGAAGCAGCTCCGGGCGGATGACGTATGAGATCAGCTTGATGCTAAAATGATGCTAAAAATTCAGCTTTTCATCACAGGAATAAATTACATTTTAAAATATATTCCAATACATAATGGTTTATTGAATTGTAATAATATGTTACAGTATTACCGTTACTTAGATGTATTATGGATACTTTTGCATACTTTTTTGCAAACCTGGATTATTAATATGCTTTCTGCCGAGGTGATTTAGAGACGAAATGAGTCAGACGTCAACACAAGATTTATGAAACTGCAAAAGTGAGTATTATAATTTTTTTTTTTTTATGTTTTGATGCCATATATATGGCAGCACATTAATGGTGAGCTCACCTCATGGTTTAATAAGACAGACCTGCACGCGAACCATGAACACGGTCAGTCAATTATTTCTATTCAAACCACATCAGTTAATAATAAAGCAGCTTTGTGACATACACCCTAAACTATTAGGCCTTCTACTGATGCATATTTTAGCAATCATATTTCAGGAAAACAGTTTAAGTGGATTTTGTTGATCTCAACATTGGCTGTGCCCAAGCAAGGGAGAGCGAGAAGGAGACCCTCTCTAAGCATGTCTTTAAAGCTTAATTCAGATGTTTTCCATCAGGATTGTCTAATAAAGAGGTTAGCTCAGGTCATTGTATCAACACACGGTATTGCTTCACTCTGGCAGTGAGGCAGAAAATTGGATGATGCTCCCTCTCTGCTGCAGTTAATCGGGCATCATCCTACCAGTCCCTGCGGTTCCCATCGCATTCTGGGATGGAGCCACAATCTTTGCGGATCTTGTGCAATTTTTCTTTTTCTCTTCCTGTACTGAGAGGCAAAACACAATGCAGAATACTAGGTACTGATCTTACAATAAA